GCCTTCGCGCACATTTACGCTTTTTCCGAAACATGCCGAGCCGTGCTCCGCTTCCGCCGATCGGCTGCACCGGGGACCCGCTTGGCTCGGGGGCGCCGCGAGCTGCTCAGCCTGGGCAGACCCTGTCGGGCAATCTCGCAGGCCTTTTGGCGTCTTCTGTGCGGGGTTCCCTCGAGCTTCCGGCGCCGGTGGGATTCTGCGGGACGACAGGCAGGCAGGCGGGCAGGCGTAAATACACGCAAGGACAGCGGGAGCCATCCCGGGTCTCTCTCGCGGCTCCGCTGCTTTGAAAAGCTCCCAGAACGGGAGTGAAGGAGCAACAGATAGGCTCTCTGTATTTGGACGAGAGCGCGAGATAGTGCCACTGAAATCGACCCTTAGAGATCCCCCCGCCCCTTCTTTCTCTCAAGCCCTAATCCTGGCTCGACACAACAGTGTAAACCTTGCAGTGAAAAATCGCTTTATTTAGACATGTTGGGACCAGGCTTTTTCTTAAATCGTGTTCGGTTGTCGTGCTTTTTCAGTCGTTGACACTGAAGTGAATGACATCATCTGCTCGCTCTCTCTCTCTCTCGCTCTCTCTCTCTCTCTCTCTTGCTCTCCCTCCCTCCCTCCCTCCTGCTTTCAGCCACTGACACTAAGGCAGATGAGAAAATAAAATTATAAAGCAAAGATCCTGGACATAATACAGTACTGTCTATGTCTGTGCCAGGCATTTAGGTTTTGTTCATCAGTAGCCAAGCTAAAGAATGGCATACATTTAAAAATTACTGCATTTTACACCCTTGATTTAATACCACTAGGCAGCTACAAATATTAATGCTTTTTCAAAAGAGAGTGCCTTATTGTGTATGGCAAGGCAAAAATCTTTTTCCTTTCTTTTCCTTCTTTTGCGGGATGGGGGCACTGGGCTTTCTGCAGTGTCCTGGAAACTGCATTGTGCAAATTCTGCAAGAGCAGGACAAAAATTTGATTTAAAATGAAGTAAAATAAAATGATTTTCATACAATGACTTGCCATATATTTAATAATTCTCCTTTCTGCCCAGATTATAATTTGGTGGAAACTTTGGGGGGGGCCTGGGGGCCACCCCCAGGCTTAGGCTGCACGCTTGTGGCTTTTAGGCCATACATTTGACATGGCCCCGCAGCCTTCCCCTAGCTGTGCTTTCCAGATATATTTAGAGTACTAGATTTCTGTGCCAACTTGGGGATTGTTGTGGCCCAGGATTCTGATAATTGTAGTCTAAAGTCATCTGGAGAGTGTATATTTTTGGGAAACCAGGAATTTTTGTAGAGCCTAACTGAAATTTACATTCCACAAAACTGTTTATATTATATTGGACAATATGACATTGCCACGACATTGAAAGCAGCATGATACAATAACAAGGATGGAATAGGGATAAGACTTTTACAGAAAAAATGATTAGTCCAGTTCATGAAAGTTACTGTAATCCATGCAAACTCATCAAAGCCCTAAATGTTCAGGTTTTTAGGCTATGTTGCAGCTTAATGCAAATTAAATATCAGTGACCAAAATTTCAATGTGACTATAGACTTACTGAAGATGTCATAGATTACTACTGATTAGCATTTTTCCCATTATTAAATTTAAAAAAAAACATGTTAGAATCAACATAGTTAGGTTCAGGATTTTTAAAACTGCTTTAGAGATGATAATATTGGAAACATCTAATAAGTTTAACATACAGTTATATAGTTTTAGAGGTTTGACCTACTGTCATATTTCTGATTGTACTGATCTTAAAAATATATGTTCTGGCAATATATATTTTAATTATTAATATTTCATTGGAAATTAAAATCCCAGAATAGAATAGCATTAGTCAATGGCAGATTTTTCACTTCTGTAATTACTGTAACAGTCCACCAAAAGATCAAAAGATTCATAAGATAAGGACACTCCTAATGGGTCAACAGAAGCCAAACAGTGAAACAAGATCATTTTCATTAAGTAATTGAATTTCAAGGTTGGATCCAATTTCCTGAAATTCTATTCTGCAACAGCCCTAAAGTTGATCACCTGCTACAGTTTTGTCTTTTTTTCCCAGCATCTTCACATAAATAATTCATTTTAACAGATTCCAAAGAGAATATAATGCTAAGCACGTTTGTTGCTTGTTTTTTGTTTTTATTTAGTACTCTGTATCAATCATTCAACTGAGAATGATATTTTCATTATGTAGCTTTACTTTGAACCTCACCCCACCCCTTATTAAAGCCTTACTTGATAGGTGAGGTTGCAAGTCCAATTAATCCTGAAAATGTTTTGATATCTAGTATACCTCTAATAAATTATATTGGTGACATATTCTGCTCAAATAAGTTCTTTTCTAAGAACTTACAGCATGATTTATTATATCTGCTAAAGTTGTGCATGCTTCAAAAATGATTCAGAAGTGCTTGGACCTTACATGAGTACAAGCATAGCATCTCTCTGCTATTTGTTAAAGAGGCATCATATTTTTTCAAGCTTTTTCATGAGCCTGAGAAAAGATGCTGCTGCTTTAAGAATCATTGTCATAAAGCTGCTGCTTGAAGAGTCAGCTTCATAAAGCAATGACATATTTTATTCAGGCTCATCCAGAAGCATTCACATGAGGTCCTAGCACCTATTTCAAATCATTTATGCAACCAATATTCATGTTTAATTGAGTACATAATGTTCAGAATAGATTAAAAATATAATTGCACATGTTATAACAATGTTAAAATAACCTGAAAATCAAGGTAATTTTTGTAGTACTTCTACTATTTAAATAGATTTTTATAATCCAGGAAATTGTAGTTCTACATTTCATAGAACATAGTATAATAATTTAGATTTGTAATGTCCTTAAATGTATTTATTTAAGAAAGTTCCTTTCTCTGTTATGGTAACAATCTGTAAAGCTGTAACTTCTAGCATGGAAGTTGAAGTCCAAGAACTTCTTCCTTGGAATTAACTTTCATTTAACTCAGTAAAATTTAGCTCCAAGTAGATACAATTAGGATTCCATTGTCTGTTGTATTATTATTAAATACAAGTTGATTGAAACAGATGTCTTGTTAAATTAATGGACAGTATATTTTTTACAAAATGTCTTTGTATGTGTTTTATTTTATATTACCAAAACAAATTAAAAATACAACCCTAAGCTTTTTATTATTTTGACTGAATTCTTAAGTAATCTGTGTCTAGTTCAGAGCATAATGCTTTCAAATCAATTTAGTTCTACATTGAAGGAGCAATTTGTAACATTGATGTACAGGATCAATCTTTCCTAACATGATTCAAA